CAATAAGGATAAAGAGAACCAGGATAAAGACCAGCAGGACTTTGTGCCTCATCAGAAAATAACCACGTACCCCATCAGTGTGCCCTACCAGCACGCACTCAGCCAGCACAGATCCCAAATGGTATCTTATGCTGCGTTCCCAAGGCACGGCGCAGAACTGCGACCCCGGAGGGGAGGAGACTGAAGTGATTCTGAGCTGCTTTCCTCAGCGCTGGAAATGAAGGGTAGCAGCCACTGACCCCAGCAAACCGCCGCTCTGAATCTCCCCACGCAGCTCTTCACCCCCACCTCAGGCATTCTTTTGTGCAAAGGTTTGCAGAACAGTTTGTGGGAAAATCACCAATGCCTACGTTCCCTCATTTTTTATTCTATAGACTTCTCTTCCAGCCAAAACTGGGGCATTTTAAATATGTTTATATAAGTCTCTCTTTTTTTTCTTTAACCTGGCCTGAACATGCTGGTGAAGCATCAAAGCATCTGCCTTCAGATGGGATGCAGTCACACGCTGCATCGCTACCTGCAGCCGCATGAGTTCACTAATTTTCACTCTTTCAAGTATTAACTACGTCCAATTTTCTGCTTAATTTTATCAGATTTTCAAGTGTGTTTGAAAGACACCCTACTGCTCTCTCCGAGGCGGTGTATGCACTGCTGCTGCTGTCCATGAATAAGTTCATTTTGCTTCCTTTCCTCCTAGGACTACTCACTGTCACGCTGATTTGTTTTCTCTCTAACGTCGAGCAAAAGCACTCGTTATGAATATTCATTTCCATTGCAAAGTTAGGGACAGCAAAAATACCAACAGCCCTTTCATTTTACGCTTCTAGCTCCAATTTTATTTACGTATATTTCATTTGAGAAAGGGTGATCATTTTGGCTCCTATCACTGTTTATCAAACCTGGAACTGCTTAAGATTTTTCACATCATGTGTACTGAGAGCAGACATTCCTCAGAAGGGCTCTGTGCTGATCAGTCGTGATACACCACAAACTCATATCACAGCCTGACACTGCTCTCCTAGAGCTTCTGAAGCAATTAACAATTAGCCGAATGAAAAGTACTCTGAGAATTAACTTTTGCATGCCACGTTTTCAGCGTGAATTTCCTGAGTTGTATTTGCTCAGCTCTCTCCTCTACAGGCACAAAGGCTCTGTGTGCTTGGCTTTTAACTTCAGCACACTGTGCAGCCTTCTGGTCATCTGGGTGCAAACAGTCTGTGCAGACCTTCTCCTATCAGGACTGGTATTAACCTTTACACCTTCTGCTTAACATTACGCTCCACAAAACAATCCAAACAAGCCACATAATGACCAAGAATACGACGGCTTCATACACATTCATCACCTCCAACATAAGCAAGGGATAACTTTTCTGAGAAGAAATCTAACCTGTTTTTTTCTCATGTCACCTTTAATCACAGAACATTGATCGAGTGGCTGTTTAAATGGCAGTCTTCTCACAGTCCAAACAGCAAAGCAAGTGGCTGAAAGGTAAATGATCACAAACAAATGGAGCTGGGAACTGTGTTCCTTGGTAAAGGAATGGAGCTTTCCTCATGGGTGAGAAACAGATTTCTGCCTGTAGAAGTAATTCACTAACATTTACTTTAACTGATTACTTCTTTTACAAGAAGTTTGTGTTTCCTCAGCTAAATCACCCCCTGAAAAAGAAAGCCCTGTGCCGGGCAGTGTGAAATCTGCAAGCCTGTGACTCCTGCAAACACTGCATCCCTCCCTGCAGCCCTCCTGCAGGGCAGCCCGGCACTGGGCACACGATTTATGGCAGCCAGGAGCAAGGGAAAGACTAAATTTCCACTCCAGCCATCTCTCATGGTTACTGCTTTTTATTGTTTTGACAGGACGCATTAAAAAAATTGTATGTTTCTTCTTTCTACCCTCTATTTTGTTTTATGCTGTCCTTAGCAGGGGCTCCTCTGAGCTAAAATGCACATTATGTAGCACCAAACTGATGGCGAATCTGATCACAGCAGACCTGTGAAGAGTCTCCAATAAAAACACATACCCTTTTACACTGCAAGAGACACTTCATTTAGTTCCTTCTGGATGACATTCAGATCAAGCAGAAACGTGCACCGTTTACAGTTGAGCCCTAAACAGCAGCACAGTCCCACCAAACTGAGAGCAAGGCTGTGCTAACCTGCCCTGCCTCTGAGAACATGCAAATGCTGACAAACGTCCACCTGATTCCTTACTGCACCCTGGCAGGGTGTAACCAGGTGTGGGACAGTGGTGGGGAGGCTGAGGGCTGAGTGTGGGACCTGAGCACAGCAGCACCCGGATGAGCTTCGCCTGGGCGCAGGGAGCAGAGGAGCGGGCAGACACAGGCAGTGCTCTGCAGCTTCGGGCAGCGCTGCAAAGTGTGCTGCTCCAGGGAGTGACTGATGGCACCCAAATTCAGTTTAATTGATGCCACAGCAAGATAGAGGATTTTCTGTTTAAAGGCAGAAGTCGTTTCTTTTTGTCTACGCAGCAGCCATTCGGAACGGGAGTATTACTGAAAGCCAAGAAAATGAAAGTCTGGCATTGTGCTGTAATTGCACAGCAATAAAGAGACAGCATAAAGTGAAATTCAAGCAGTTTATGCAGATACTGCTGTCTGGCATTCACTCTGGTCTCTCTTTTAACCTTTACTTGAAAATCACAGTGAAGTTTAGTTTAAGAAAAATAAACACTGTAAGTATCAAACACAATTTTTAAAAGAAAAATACTGAATTTTTAATGTTGTTCACACTTAATATTTTTCCTGTTAAAGCTTTAGGATGAGTGAATTAGCAATGTACTGCAAGGGAACACTGTTCCTCCAAACACTTAGAAAACTGGGCTCCAGTTTCACTCTCAGTGTTTGCAAGACTAAGACCCTGGAAGCCAAGGGCCTAACATAACACACTTGTTCTATAAAATTAGAAGGAAGGCAATCTTGCACAGATGGCAGAAAGCTTCCTCAAAACACAAACTCAACCTCCCGTTACCTCACAATAAATAAATTCACAGTATTTTTAAAGGTAAGTTGTGACAACCTTGCTGATTAGTGCAATTCATGTGGCAGCATTCACTTTTCTCCAGCTCTCTGCTGCATACTGAAAGTGAGGCACTTAAATGAGAAAATTAATTCCATTAATTAAAAATGTTCAGTCTCAAGCATACAGAGTGATCTGAGTGAGAATTACAGCTGGATAAAAGCACATAAAGCAAAGTGTTTGCTGTCCCTTTAGGACGGATACGTTTTGCAGCACCAACCAATGATAATTCTATTTTAACAGTAGCCTAACACTGGAGAGACGTGGAAAGGTTTATTTTATCTCTTAGAGAGAAAACCACTTGATGTATGTAGAAAATTGCACAGAACACCACTTTTCCCACAAATTCTTTGCTTGGAGAGCCTGAGTGAAAACTCTGCTCCAATTCAGGAAAGAAAATCATTAAACTTAGCTGAATCCATAAAGCACCAGAGCTGGAGCTTCAATACAGATCACTGTGTACTGAAATTAAAATAGAAGCCCTTTTTAATTATATAAAGTGTGCACGTTATTACTGAAGAGAGGAACACAAGCTTTCCTCAAGAACCATAAAATTGGCTGCTGGGAATTAAACTTCAGCTGCGATTATTATATGGTCCTATAAAGGATATTGAACGTCTGATAAAACTGCGCCCTTGTCGCGTAACAGTGATGCTGAACGCCAAACAACCACTGCAGCATTCCAGCCATAGCTTTCTCAGAACATCACAGCTCCCTTCTCACACCAAAAAGAAAACACTGCAGGATTTCGGAGCGAAACCTCTACCTAAATATCTGAAATACCAAACGGACAGGTCTGAAGATATATAAGCCACACAGAGGCAAAACAGCGTGTGTGATAAATTAATGCTGATGTCTTCTGTACAGGAAAGCCCTCCACGAAGACATGCCCAGTGTGGAGGGCTATTTGTGCTGTGCCATGAGTGCCTTGCTCAGCCCCACCGCGCCGTGACCATTACAGTGCTGCACATTCCTAACGGCTGTTTTCCTTCTTGTTCTATTATTTGCTGTAAATACTGAGTACTGGCTGTGCTTCCACGCAGCTACAGGAGACTGGTCAGACTTTTGCAGAATCTGGAATGTGCTTCTGACGGCACTGGCGTGCTCTGAGACCCACAGATGTAACGTAGAACCAAGACCTGCAGATATTTCTAATCCCACAGACTCCAGCGCACCCACAACTCAGCCAGGCCAAAATGTTTACGTGGAGTCAGAATATCAAAGAAATACTTCTCTGACATTTAACATAAGGCATGTGCAGGGGAAGGCTGGACAAAGGGCTGTGACTGTGTGCAACGTGCTGCAAATTTTGCTCTTGCAAATGGAGGAGAACGTCCCTTTTCTGTAAAGCCATCTTCCATCACAGCATGGGAGGTATGTCCTGCCTACTCCACCAAGCTTTAGCCCGACTCTGCTATTCCAATCCCAGCACCTGTGGTGACGCAAGGCTTCAGAAAAAGCCTTTGCACGAGAGCATATGAAGGCTCCCATGGAATTCTGATGGTGAAAAATATCCAAAGCACCAGACACCAGAGTGCCCTCCCAAATTATAGCAGGAAACGAGCACTTTGGGCTGGGCTGTGATGGACAGGGAGGGGCAGCCATGGCCTGGGACAAGCACTGTAAGCTTTGGAAGTACGCACATTGCCTCTGCATGGATTTTTGAAATATATATTTTTTTAACTGTGAAGCCGAACAAATGAATTGTTCAGAATCACACAATATTTTAATAATAAAAATGGACTCATCCAAACATTGAGAAGTCAAGTCAGTGAACAGTTTCAAGAGAAGCCATGAAATGAACCTTACTTGGTTCCTTCCATTAGAAAGAATGCTGGAGCGTTTGGTTTCAGAATCAAAACGTAACTCATGTTTAACTTAGCAAAGGGAGAACAAACAGCCAGCAGCATTCACACCAAAATACGCCAGAAGATCTTCAGAATAAGGAATTCATTTTCTTACCTGGGACATCAATTAATCTCTTATAAACATTCAAGAAGGCTGCCTCTGCTTCTTTGCTTCTTTTACCCAATGCATCAATCTGTGGGGGTGAGGAGAAAGAAGGTGTTAGACTCAGTGCAATACAACTCGTGCACTCAGAGCTATAAGAATAAACAAAAACATAATACATAAAGAGGGAACCTAATCTCCTGTGTACAGCTCCTGTAGCCTTGTGAGAGTATTTCTGCTATGTCTGTACTGAATGTAATTTGAAGTCCTGTTTCAGCACAACAGCAATCGATATTTTTAAGAACACTGCTGCCTGCTGTGATTCTTCACTTTAAATCTTAATACAAAGAAAGCAAGCCGGGTGCTGGCCGGACAGGCGTCCTCCTCAGTAACTTTCTTTTACTGCTAATTAAGATGTAACACAGCAAATGGGATCTGCGTGCACTTCTGATGTCACGCTCTGCTTTCGTTGCAGGTTTCCACTAAACCTGTGAGAAGATGAAAAGATGCACTTCTGGGCATCCTCTGCTACTGAACACTAAACAGCTCTGAATCTTTCCCATGCAAAGACCCAAGGAGACCGAGCTGCCCTGCGCCGCAGAGCTGAAGGCAGGCTGCTCTGGCTTCACGTCTGTTCTTACTTTGTGTTAATTCATGCCATGCTTGTTTAGGAAGCTGCCTGCTCAGGTAAGGCAGAATAACTACCTCCCACCATCTATTATTTTCTCTGAACTTGTATTTTCCTCCAAAACTTCACTGTGGAAGGAAGGGCAGCTTTATAGCTCTGACAAGAAAGTATTCATTCCACAGCAACTTTTGGGGTTTTTTTCTGCAAACTTTTTTCTTAATGTACTGGAAAATGGAGGATTTACAGTGACTAAATATTGACAGAAAGTACCCAAACCAAGACCAGTTCCACGTGATTGCTGCTCCAAAGCAGAGACAGAAAGGGAAGCCTGGCAGCACTTTCCAGCAGCTTACTCTAATCAGGAAACTAAAAGCACGGAGATTATCGTTCCCATATTTTAATAAAAAGCAAGGAAGGATCTGAAGAACTACAGCTACAAAGGCCTGATACCAATTCTCCTGCATATTTGAAAAACAGCGAATATTATGAAGCCATTTAAAGGTGCGTACGTCAACATGTACTAAAAAAGGAAGGTCTTGTCTGAAAAACGTCCTTGAATTCTTTAACCACTTATTGATTCGGCAGATAAGGCAGAAACAATGGACAGAGTTTACTGTCTCTGCGTTTCAGGAAAGTGTTTTATTGTGGTATTTTGCTGTGCGTGCTGCCAGCCCGACGCGCCGCCGGGAAGCAGAGGTGCCAGGAGAGGAGACACGGCACAGAGCTGCCGTCCTCGGTGCCACGGCTGTGCTGTGAGAATGGAGCGGGCAGGGAAGAGGCTGGGGGTGGTCAGAGTAATGGAGGCAGGGAGCACGGGGGCAGAGCGCGGGACCTGCACGTGACTGCTGCAGATTAGTCTTATGGCTGAGAGTGACCTGCAGGGATCACTGCGGAGAGGATTAAGGGCAGAAAACTGAACTGTCAGGACGACTGTGGAAACTGCGTGGAGCGCGAGGTATAAAGCCCTCAAGGCCTGCCTGTGCTTCCAGAGCTCACCAGGAAGGGCTGTGGGAGGCACCAGAACCACAGAGGGCAGCTGATGTGACGTGCCAGAAAGCAAGGGATTGGTGCTGGTGAATAACCCATTTATTAATTTCAATCCAAGCAATCACAGATGGACCGATGCTCATTAGGAATGAGAACATAAGCAACTCAGAACGTTCTCCAACGCAGAGTATTTGAAATGAGAATATGGAACCAAGTGCCAATGCTGGAAAAGCACCGGGTAGCACAAATCTGTGCCTGAGAATCAGATGGGAGAGGGGGGGCAGCCACCAGAAAGGCTTCAGAGATATTTGCTGGGTGCACGAAGGCAGACTTTGAAGGCCAGAGCACCATATGTCAGACTTCGGGACCTCTGTGTTCCCACATATGATTCTCTCTCGCTGCTGCTCAGCACAGCGCAGCCAAATTTAAATGACTATTATTAAATACAATTAGCATTGCAGAACAGATTCTGTACTGTATTCTGAAAAACTCATTTTCCCTGTCTAGGAAAAGCAAAGCATTTAGAGTAACTGCACTTCCATTCCTACGAAATAACCAAATGGGTCTGTTTTCCTATTACAGCTTCTTACATTTTAATAAAGGGCATTTGTACTTAAGTTCTCCTTAAATATTGCACATGGTTTATTCACTCCTCGCCAGTTACACTGTGACTGAAGTATAAAGCAGAACTGAAACAACATATTCCGAGGAGATCAGAGACTTTCTGACGGAAGCCGTTTGTAAATCACAGGAACTTTCACACCTTTTCTTTTTTCCTCCCAAAATTCTGAACCAGAACTCCAAACAATCCCACCAGGCAGAAAGCTTTCATTTATTATTTTTTTTAAGTAGTTAAAAATCAGTGAAGCTGCCTGGTTTAAAGTTCTATCAAAAATGGGCTCTGCAACTACTTGATATCTTAAAGAAAGCACTGTGACAACCTTAACTGGAATAACAAATGAATTACATATGTCAGCTTCCAGCTGCGTAAGGAGATATGGGACGAGAAGGTCATCAAAATAGCAAGATATAAATAAAGTCCAGTGACAAAGGAAGCAGAGCACTGAAATGACATGGAAATAAGTGTTTGGAAGCTCACTGAAACCTTTTCAAATCTGAGTAAAATTGGTTCGGGAGCCAACAGAGATCACACTCCAACAGTTAAAGTACATTAGAAAACTTGCTGAACACTTTTATTTGACTCTTGAGAACTTGAGGGACCCAGAAAGAAGTCAACTTATAATTACACCAGTGCAATCTTGACACGAGCTAAGCTCCACATCTTAATTTATCTGAACTAGGCCCCATTATGTCTTCTGTGACTAGAAAGAAACAACGGTGACCTCTGTATTCCCTGCCACCCCCATAAACATATGTTCACTTTTAAGTTCTGGCATACTATTTGTCTTGATAATACCACTGGAGCTACATGGAGATAACAGGAATGAGACGCGAGGAATCCTCCCTCCTTCACACACCCTTCATCTTCACAACCTCCCTGGGGCCACGCGGGGAGGAGCGCGGCGAGACGCCACGTCGGGCACGGCCCTCCCTCCACCAACAGTTTTTCCAGGTCAAGTGCTGTCAGGAGTTGCTGCTCAGGCACCGAGCTGCTCCCAGAGCTGCAGGACGCCTCGGTGATGTGCGCGAAGCACAAAGAGCTCGCACGCCCATATCGAGTCTCAAACACAACGCTGTGCCAAACAGGAATGCTGCAGGCCCAGCTCTTATCGTCGCTGCTCTTCAGTTGCAATTCTCACTCTCATTAACAACCTTAATATAAAAGATACCAATTTTTACTGTACTGCTCCCAGAGCAGCAAGTAAAAATAATCAACTTAAACCGCAATTTATATTGCTGCTGTAATTCTAAACTAAATAGGGGCCTTTACTCACAGAATCATACAGATACGAAAAGACCACTAAGATCATCCAGTCCAACCATCAGCCCATCGCTCCCCTATGCAGCCCTCATATCGTTTTGCATTACAAAGTTTCTTCATTTGACTTCAGTTTTTCTGAGCTACTGAAGTGCCATTGAGAATTGCAAGAAACTTTTAACAAAGGGAAAAGCATGCCAATACCTTATAAATGTAAACTTATCTTTGCCTCAGAATCAAACAGGGGTTATAGCAAGTACTCCTGGTGCTACACAGTGGCACCATTCCTTCTCTTAAGCCGTTGGAATGGAGCTCATCTCCCTCACATAAGAGAACATCAGTCACTGTGGTGGTGTACGGGAGCAGCCCTACAGTGCTCTGCGCATGCATTAGGAAGCAAAGAGCATCGGTGCACAGTTGGCTGATCTGCCATTCTTAACACCAGCAGGTGCCTACATGGAGAATTAGTGAACATACAGAACTCATGAGGACAACTGGAAGTTTTGCAGCTGACAGAAGAAAAATCAAAAATGCTGTTTTGTTTTTCTCTTTGCTACACTTAGAATATTTCTGAAGCAAAATTAAAAGAAATGATTCCTGTGGAGCTGCATAAAGCATATGGTGTGTATTTTAGCTGTGCTATAAATTCTTTAACCAAAGCGAGGCCTGCTCAGTGGTACAGCTCCCATCCCAGCTGTCTGGGTGCTGCACAGGTACGCTGCCTGTGATGGGCACGGTGGGATCGTGGAGACCTCCCAGCTCCTTGCTTCAACCTCACATTAACGAGAGGGCTTCAAGAGGGACTCAGATCCCTCAGCTTGTCAGTTCTGCTCCTGCAAAACAGCTGCAACCTTGAACCCTTGAAACCTTTTCTTCTTTCATGCCCAGATAGATCCTGCTCTTCCCAGACAAACATCGCTGCCGGCCCTGGAGGAAAGCTCAGCTCCCTCTTGCCCGGACAGCTGCTTGTTGCTCTCTAGCCTTTGATCTGCCTTCCCAGTAAACCAACCCAGCCCAACGTGTGCCTCCAGATATTGACAGCTGAATGACAGCTCTGTTTAAACGGCTTTTCCTATCTGCCACCCTGCCTTCAGATTCCTGCAGCGGTGGATCTGTGATTACTGCTCAACCTCCCCTGCATCCTTCCATAACCTCCATGCCTTCCTCCACGCTTCTCTCTGCATTTCTGAGCAGCGTTTCTCAGTTTACGCTCTCACTCTGCTCCTCACCCATCCCAGGGCAGGCACAAAGGCAGCAGCCTGGATCCCTCCTGCCTCAGGCCACCAGCTCCTCCTGCATCAGACCCAGCAATCGCAGCAGCGCCGGAGCGTGATTCAGCTCACTGACTCAATGGAAAACTAAGCAACGGAGGAGAGAAAATTTATTTTCCATCGTGTTGGCGAACTGAACTGACTCATCTCATACATTTGCTAGACTCAGCATAAGGGAGGAGGTGGGTAAAGGGGCTGGGGCAAGGACATTGCCTGCGGCAATCCTGTGTTGGCATGGGCTGGGAATGGCGTGAAACCCGTGTCAAGGTGTGGGTGGCAAATTGGGGTCAAAGTGCTAAAAAAAGTAAAAAATATCAGGAAGTTAA